TAATTATAAGTGTGACCTCCAATGTAATTTAACTACTATCAAAACAGCTTTGCCAAAAATCATTTAAAAATAAATAATAAAATGCATATTGATGTAACAATCTCAAAGTAAAATTTATTCCTTTGCTTTATACAGATTGACAGGGTAAATCTTGAGATTCAGCAGGCTGAGCGAGAGTACGATCTAAATCGTGCTGCTGAATTGAAGTATAGGAGCTTGAGCTCTCTGCAACGCCAACTTGAAAGTGCTGAAAAGGAGATGGATGAGTATATAAAGTCAGGAAAGTCCATGCTGAGAGAAGAAGTAACAGGTGATGACATTGCTGAAATTGTTAGTAAGTGGACTGGTATTCCTATTTCCAAGCTTAAACAATCTGAGAGGGAGAAGCTATTACATTTGGAAGATGAACTGCATAAACGTGTGGTGGGTCAGGACCCTGCAGTGAAAGCAGTAGCAGAGGCCATTCAGCGATCTCGTGCTGGTCTCTCAGATCCTCACCGTCCAATTGCTAGTTTCATGTTCATGGGCCCCACTGGTGTTGGAAAAACAGAACTAGCTAAAGCCCTAGCTTCCTATATGTTCAACACTGAAGAAGCCCTTGTACGAATTGATATGAGTGAATACATGGAAAAGCATTCAGTCTCACGATTAGTAGGAGCCCCACCTGGTTACGTAGGGCATGAGGAAGGGGGGCAGTTAACAGAGACAGTTCGCAGGAGGCCGTATGCAGTTATTCTCTTTGATGAGATAGAAAAGGCTCACTCTGATATGTTTAATATCTTCCTTCAGGTTTTGGATGATGGTAGGGTGACTGATTCACAAGGTCGCACTGTCAGTTTCACGAACACTGTCATCATTATGACTTCAAACGTGGGTTCACAATATATACTCGACACAGATGATTACTTGCCAAAGGAGGTAGCTTATGAAACGATTAAGAGGAGGGTAATGGATGCTGCTAGATCAGTCTTTCGGCCTGAGTTCATGAATAGGGTTGATGAGTACATAGTTTTCCAGCCTCTGGATCGTGATCAGATAAACAGTATTGTCAGGTTACAGGTATCTTGGTACTGTTTGTTTGGGTTGATAATGATTTTTCTTCAGTGAATGTCTTTGCAACTTGTTATAAACTATAATTACAGAAGCATGGTTAAAGCTTGTTTGGTTCATTCTAGATTTTACTTCCCAAATTAATTATTGTGTTTTGAATCCTAGCTGTTAACTGCAATCATCTTGCAGCCTGGTAGATGTATGTGTGCTTACATGCATGTGCAAAGATGTGCTGGATCTTTTACAACTCTTCATGGAGACTCATGGGAAATGACCTCTTTATTGGATAATCATGGAGTGATTTGATTTGAATTCCACTGCTAACTTCACTGTGTTTTTTACACTGCACGTAGCATATTGCATGTTGGTCCTGTTTTCATGCATTTTCCTGACTGCTTATGCCATGTTTGCTTGTGCATTTCAGCTCGGACGTGTCCAGCAGAGGCTTGCAGACCGGAAGATTAAATTATTGGTCACCGATGCAGCTATAGAGCTTCTAGGGACTCTTGGGTACGATCCCAACTATGGTGCTCGGCCAGTCAAAAGGGTGATTCAGCAGCATGTTGAAAACCAACTTGCCAAGGGTATCTTGAGAGGGGAATTGAAGGATGAGGATTCTGTTGCAATAGATACGCAGGTTACAGCATTTGCCAATGGCCACCTCCCCCAGCAAAAGCTAGTTTTCAAGCGTCTGGAAACTAGTGAAGATAAGGCAGCTGCTGAAAGTCGAGCTTTTTCAGAGACTGTCTAAATGTTTTTACCCGCACTACACTATACAGGTGCTATACATTTTGGGTAGAGGGTTCATAACTCCTGCTAAATGAGTATTTCCCATCTTGTGTAAGATTACAGGTCTCGAGGAGTTTTTGTAAGGTGCCTTGACTTCCTAACAGCATTTTATATTCTTTTGTGGTTGGTGAAGTTGGGGTGATCTTGTGTTCTTGTAGTCTAAAGTGCACGAGAGCGACATGATACTAATTTGACAGACCAGAACTGTTGTTATACATACCCTTAAAAGTGAAACGAATTGACAGTATTTTTATATAAATGAATTATTTGCGAGGTATTTTGGAGTGGACAAATCAAAGGAAAAGTCGCTCTTACAAAGCCATTCCTAATGTATTTGGCTGTGTTGCTGCCCGTATGTCTCTGCGTTCGAACTCGTCACGTTGTATCAGAACTTCATGGCTTTAGAAAACATAACGATATGGTGTTCATTAGCAGCAGATGATTAAGAGATGGGTGGAAATTACATTGATTACCCAGATGATTAACCCTCTGTCTATGATACAAATCTTTCAATCAAGGACATGAACCGGTAAAAAACAACAGCTAAGTTAATTTGCCAGCCCTCTGACTCACAATGCCTTCCATTTCTAGAATCAAGCAAGCGGAGAGAGATGCCAAAAGACCACACACGGCTCAGCTCATTTACTTTGCCATATCATGCTACAACTACGTAACGTGCGTTCTGAACAGGTCAGAACAGCATTTGTCAGTAAACTCTATCATTTGTGTTCTCTTCCTCGATTTCTAGTTACAGTACTGAGGATATGAATATCTACGGTGGGTACAGAACCTGCTCCTTTTATAGGCGAATTCTTTCGCAACTCCTGTTGGATCAAGGCCCGTGTCTTGCCATCTCATGTTTGAGACCAATTTCCTGTAAAGCTTCTTCGCTGATTCAATCTTGCCTCTTAAACACGTTCCATGAACTACAGCGTTGTAGAGGGAGACATCTGGTGGAACTTGCTGCAGATGAGATGAACTGAAATTTATCAGTTATTCTGAACCATCTGCAATGCTCTTCCAAAGAGAAGTAAGGATCCACCTGTAAGGTTTTGAAGGACCAAACTTTGCACTTTGGCATTTGATTCTGAACTTTATAGGACTACCGAGTTACAGACAAGGACCTGAATTCACATTAATTCTTTACCCTTCTGGTCAGTCAATTATCACAGCTACTCTGGTCGAAGCAAGGAAGAGTTCATGAAGAGTGAAGGCTTGAAGATAGACTAGATCAATCTTTGTATGAGATTATTCTCGAGCACAAAAGGATAGAAAGTACAGAAATAAACCTACATCTAGAACTCCCTCCACATCATCCCAAAGAGATGCCCAAATGCAATCAATGACAGATTTGTAAATGTATCTAGAGTGCATATACTTCCAACGCAACTTTTTGGCTTTTCAGCAACTTCACAAGCACCAACTTGAAGTCCAGAAGCTTCCACCTGCCATCAAAGCTGAAGAGCTCTATCCCATAATCCTAGTTGCTGGCATGACCCCGGAGCAGTGTTGTATATATGTTCATTCAATTGAGATCTTTGTTTTCTTTTTATTCTCTCAAAGAGCTGAAGAGCATCAACATGTTGATTTGCTCTGTACAGGCCACCAAGCAATGTATTCGTCAGGTGTATGGCCCCAAGCTTCAAGAATTTTTAAGACCTTAAATGCTAGTTTGATCTCCCCTGCTTTCCCGAGTAAATTAATCAACGCATTACAAGCAATAAGATTCGGCTTCAGCATATTTCGGAAGACATTCAAAGCCAAGTTCCAATTCCCCTCCTCCTCTGAACATGCACCAATTACCGCATGCATTGCATCCTCTCTTGGTTTCTTACCATTTCACCATAAGCGTCAAGAGCGAGCTTACTCATTCTGGCCACAACGAAAAAATAAGATAAGAAATTGCTAACTGATAGCGAGCAACCCTAGTGCTTTGCAACTGCTTTCAGTAATCAGATTATTATGTCAACAAGTCCAGTAGTTACAGATTATATAAGCTTTATTCTGACAAGACTATTTTTTATCAGTTATGACAGTTTACTACAAGTAGTTCATTCAAATTGTACAGCTTGTAAACCTCAGAAATTGTTGAATTGTAATAATATAAGCTTGGTTCTCATAGAATTTTGCAACAAATTCCTGCACGGCTCAACTCGAATTGTTTTGGATTTGTTGATGATTATTGCACTAACGTGCAGCTTGTTAGCTTATTTTAATACTTGTTTTGCGTTTTTGTCATAAAATCAATCAATTTAATGCTTTCTTATTATGGTTGCTCAACTTAGCTTATTTTAATACTTGTTTTGCGTTGTCATAAAATCAATCAATTTCATGCTTTCTTATTATGGTTGCTCATCTAGGATAGAAAAATGCACTTCGTCAACAAGGGCCTCTGTTGCTTCATTTCCTGAACAAGTGATTTTTAAGGCTAGTTTTCCTATTATTCACATGGAGCGTATCTTCAACTTGAGGGCTCCGTTACATACCATTGTATTCTTTCTTCCCCCGATTCTGTGGCTGAAAGAGACCGCTCTTGTAGGCGAATTTTCCTGTCACTGGCTTACAGCCATGATATCACAGTCAAACTGCTAGCCTCTTTCTACAGACCATTTTCATTCCTCCCTGCTACATCCAAATTATGCTAATCAGACCATTTTCATTCCTCCCCGATTTATCCAAATTATGCTAATCTTATGCTCAACAAGAAAACTCAGGACCAACTTTCTACGCGCAATTTTATTGCACAACCATCATCCTTACTAAAGAAATCGGGTATATCGATCATATCTAATCAATTAAAAGGCCTTACATTCCAGTTTGTCCAGAACAAGGAAAATAAATCTCTAGATCAGGACATGGGGAAAAAGACGAATTTCTTCATAAGCCAAGCTGGGGTTTTCTGTTTTCAATATGAACACCACACTGCTTCTTCGTCAGTTTATTAAAAATTGAAATGACACGGCAAATAACTTTTCATATGGCAACCCATAAAATCAACCAGAGGAGGGCAATGCAGCCCTAAAGCGAGAAGATAAACTAAAAGTGAGAAGATAAACTAACTTCCTATCATGCATTTCTAGCGCCACAGTGAGAAACAAGAACAAAAATAGACTGTCATCTCTCCCTAGCTGTTAAAGACCACATCGCTCATGCAAAACATGTACAGGTGATTCACCTTCTAAATCATATTAAGATTTTCGTAGAAGATCTAACAGGCAAAACAACTGATCATTGACAACATGGGGCTGTGAATTATTGCAGTTTACCAATCTGCCATCCAAATACAAATATGGGCAATACACAAATGTACACTACAGTATTACACGCTCACAATAAGTAACAGATGATTAAACCACGGTCAGCAATAGACTCCAACCCTTCTCTATGAAACAATTGGCCTAAGCAGGGCCAGGAAGCAGAATCAAAGTTTAGATTGTGATGATTGGTTTCGGCCCCAGGATAATAAAGCTATCAGGAAGCCTATCACTTTCCATCCAAATTTGCTCTGTCGACAACATGAAACAGACCCAGGCCTAGACAACTGTTGAGAAAAAAAAAAGATTCTGTAAGCTATAGATTTTTGCTGGTAAGGAAAAGCACATGAAATACCGTACATGTCAGTAACAGGCAGAGTGTAGAATGAGCATGTAGCTCTATGGCATGTCCCAGACCAAACACAGATCAGTCTACTAACAACAAACCATAACGCAAAATGAATTTCTCCACCACAGACGATGTACAAGAAAATGACTATTATCATGAGGTCCAAGTGATTAGGAATAACAAAATTCATGAAGGCATGCTTTGTTAGCAAAGCTGTGGTTCAATTCATTACTGTTAGTTATTGAACAAAATGATCTGCACGTAGATCTAATTTCATAAAGGGAAACACATACATCTTCCTAGCCTCCATGACCACAAAGAGACTGTATCCTGTCTAACAAATTATTACCATATTGTTTGTGACAAATAGATGTCTCTTTGACCACAGTCAAAATCTCCCCAAAATTTTATCTAACAAAAACTAAATTCCTCAGTTGAGGAGGATACCTGCATTTATTCCAACTCGGAGGCCTCTTCTGAATCAGACAAAGGTAGGAGAGTGCATATTCCAAGCATGTGTCCATTGAGGCACACATAATACTCAATGCAGTCATCATAGGCACCTAGCCTGCAGCTGGCACTCTGTGGTATCATTTCAGCTTGCTGCATACTCCACAACTTTGCCTTACAGTAAGGACACACCTCTGTTGGGTGAAGCTGGACCTTCCTTTTAATTAGCATTTTCCGAACCTTTGACAGTGAAAATGACTTGAAAATTCCTCGAAAAAACCCCACATCCCCTTCATCCCCTTGGTCAAGATGTTCACAGGGATCAGACACGTATAATACATCTGTCCTGCATTGTGGCAAAAGAAAGCTCTTCCCTGAAGTCCTAGAAAACCGAGTCCTATAAACAAAATGATCAGGAATGTTAATGTTATTGAAAAGGCCACCCTTTGTACATCCTGAACAGTAAATAAGCAGTTTCCCAAGTGCCCTCCAATTCCCATCAACACTGTGACTTCCATTAGATTGCAGATCACGCATCATCTTTGGAGCCCTTGTTCGGCAAAACTCCTTCCATAACACTCGCTTGGCAAGATCATCAAACCATTTGCATACACAGGACAAAGTAGCAATGAACTTAGGGTTCCAGTTCAGCTGTTGAAATACTAAAAAAATCACGTCTTCACTTAGATGCCCTTTTGTGCATTGACAACTCAAGGAGTGTATACAACGATATTGCTTTGTTAAAATCATTGTCTCCACCTAGTAAGAAGGAATGAAAGAAAGGAAATGAAGATTATAATTAACAGTAACAGTTATGGCATCTGACAACCAAAATTGAAAAGTGGACAAAAAAGTCAAGACCAGGATTCTGATCTTCTTTATATGTATGATATAATAATAAGAGTAACATGTTAAATATCATTTATATAGTCAAGGAAGTGAATATGGTTCTCTTTGGAGTCATAAAGCTACAAGCTAACCATTCAAATTATAGATTCTCGGCCAAGAACATGAATAAGTGTCCACAACAATGATGTTAAGTCAAGAAAATTCATGAACTGTGATCTTAACAAATAAATCTACCTACTGAACCAAACGACTTACTACTCAAACAATTAAAGTATGACCAAATATGAAGCCATCATATGAATAATATTATCAACTGCATGCAAGTCAGGCCAATCATGATGCATGTCTGTGGAAATAGGGTTCGATAGACAAAATCTGTGATAATTAACATTCCATGTAACTCTAGATCAGTTAGGCAAACTACTTTTGTAAGATGATAATCAACATCTGTACAAAGACAGAAATAAATACCATCTTTATCACAACCAAATGCACATATAAAATAGAATCAAGGGGTCTCGCAAATTTCTCAATTTTATTAATGCAAAAATTCAAGCATAAACATATCTTCCTCTACATCGCTTCAATGCCATTGCGTTCATAATCTCTACTATCTTCGGCAATAATTAATCCAGAAGTTAATTGGGAAAAGAAATGAAAATGTAAATTTGAAAGCACACAGCATCACAATCTTCATAATGGCCTCAAAAGATACACAATTGTAACAAACTTTAGTTGAAAAACAGAAGCTTATCAAAAAAAGGTTCAAGTTTAATCTATATGTAAGTATTGAATATGAATACCAGCTACATATTGCACAACAAAGGAGAAATCTGGTGCTTCAGTTCGAGAATACACATGCTTTAAACATGCACAACACTAATAGGAAACTAGCCACAGTATAGCTTAACACCTAATCCTGACCATTATTAAAACTTGTCTAGGTTCCATCATCTCAAGCATCCCATACCAAACTAAGACAACTGTTTTCTCTTCATTTCTCTATCGATGTCAGTCACCCTCCAAAGCTTAGATCCACAACAACCCTTTATCAAACTCCAAGCCATTTTAATCGGTAAAAAATACACACGATCACTTTAATCTAGACGAAACCCACTTCACATCTTCACTTCATCATGAAAGAACAGAACTCGAAGTTGAAGAAGCAAGAAAACCCTAGCCAACATCAAAATCAACCAAGAAGAGCAAAGAAGCTAGAAGTGGATAGGATCGTAATTAAAATCAAATCAAAATCCAAAATTCCTTACCTCAGAAAAAGAAGTATCCTCTTCTCATAGCCTCAAAAACCCTAGAAACACAAATCCACACAAATAACCGAAGCAAGGATTAGGTTGTTGTGAAACACTAGAAATAAAAAAAAAATACTCCAACGAAAAAGCCACAAGCTTTGACAACTTACAAGCACAAAAACAACTCGAGAATCGTTTTCTCCACAAGGGTATTTCGGTCCGAAACAACGCACTCCACGGAGAGAGAAAGAGAGAAGGCGTGGAGAGCGAAGCACACTCAGAGATTGGAGTGAAAAAGAGTCCTGCCGGCTTTCCATAAAATAGTTTTATGTTATTTGAAAAGATAAAATAGCATGCTTGTTATTTACTTGAATAAAAACAATTCATATTGCGCCACGTGAGAGAGAGTAAAGAGGGGAAGAATTTTGAGGCCGGCTGCTTGGAATGGTTCATGTGTAGGTAGGTGATTGGTGGGTTGTTTGGGAGAAAAGGACAGTAGTCATGTGGGTCCAGAGTAAATACGAGTGGGCACGACACTGTCCAGTCCATAGGAGGTATTCTTACACCTGGTTTTCTTTGATTTGATGGGGGCATTGCTGTGTTCAGAGATTGACTTAAAGATGGATGTTTGTCTTTGTGAAGGTGAAGGTGAAGGTGAAGGATTGGCTTTCAAGTGACAACACCTGCGGCTGTTCCAAACAAAGCAGAGCTGCTAATCCTTTCTGCATATTGAAATCACGCAAACACTGTATCTAATTACAGTGTTTGTGCATCAAGACCTTCTTCTTCTTCTTCTTCTTTCCCTTCTTTCAGATGATCAACCCGATGTTCTTCCTGATGATGATGATGCTAAGTGATTAGCAATTGCAATCCTCATCTTCTCCTTTTTCTTATTTTATATTTTTTTCTGGGCATCAAAACGTATCGAACTTATTAATTACAGGTACTGTTTGTTATTGGAAGACCAGTCTCTTAGTAATTAGATACCCCCAAAGCAGCAAGGGGAGACTCCATTAGAAGAAAGAAAATTAAGCAAACAAAAGAGATGAAAATTGAGATTATATTTCAACAATATGGCAATGTTGACAAACCCATCCTCAGTTCATCAGTAAACAGTGAAAAACAAACCCTTTTCATAAATCATGGAAGAATGAAAGATCATGTCATGAAGCTTTCATCTGCTAGTGCAGCAAAACTACACGAGTATATATTTGTTTACTTCACAGATAGAACCCAATGTACAAGGTTTGAAAAGTAAGAAGATGAAATAAGATCAATACTCATTGGACTCTCCGTCCAACTCCATATCAAAGCAATCTAATCTCAACCCAACACAATCATTTTTACACTTCCACGCCAACCACACTCCTATGTACAAGCTTAGTTTTCACTAAATAGCTTGCTTACGCTTCGAGGTGTGTTGGATTAATTTTTTTGAAGTGTGAAAAAACAGTACTTAAGTTTTGTAAATATATATTTTTTTAAAACTAGCTACTCAACATTATAGAAAAAGAATTGAAAAAAAATAATTGTCAGTAATAATCAAAAATGATAAAAGATTTAATCAAGAAAAAAATAACTATCAACACACCCATATGTCAGTAATAATAAAAAATGATAAAAGATTTAATCAAGAAAAAAAACAACTATCAGCACACCCATATAAATTGAAATAAAAAAAAATTATAAATCGAATGATAAAATTAAAATTTAATAAAAATAGAGAATAAAAATTAAAAATTAAAACATTGAGGGTTAAAACCTCAAATATCATCAGATATTGAATTAATGATAAAATTAGAAATTCTTCATAAAAAATCCAAAATAAAAATAAAAATCAACAAAGTAAAGACTTAATTTAAGAAAAAAAATAATTAAAATCAAAATATATTATTTAAAATATGCTCAACCCAACAAGTTGATTTGTGATCTAAAAGACCTGGGGTTGAGGCTAGCCTGCTTTTCAAAAGAAATTGAAAAAAAGTATAAAAAACATTTGTTACTTATATTTAATTTAAAAATAAAAATTTTCATAAAAATATTAAATTGTATAAAGCTGAAAAAAAAAGCTCTATGGAACAAATGTTTTTTTTCAAAACAAATGGGAAATCTCATATGAAATGGGAAAAAAAGAAAACTAAGAAAACATATAGGATGAAAATAGAAAAAATAAGTAAAAGGGGGAAAAAACCAATCAAATTTGGTTAAACCTTTTAAATCTAGATCAATCCTTCGGAGTTGTAAATTGTTAAATTCCACATGTAGGCTTAACTAAAAAGATTAATATAAAAAAAAGTCAATTTCTTAAAGCTACAAATTGTTAAATTCTACACATAAGCTTAGCTAAAAATCTCAATATAAAAAAAAAATTAATGTGGAAGGGTAAAATAAATTAATTTAATTAAAAAAATATTTTTAAAGAGCAAGATCTAATAAAGAGAAAAAAAAAAAACTAAGGCAAAATTTTAAAAAATTTCTTTTAAAAGAAGTAGATCTAGCAAAGAAAAAAATTAAAAAAAAAAACAACTCGGGTTACTCTCAAAAAGTCAGAAAAGTCCATTCGAAAGTGAAAAAAATATCGGATGATGATATTAAAAAAAGGAATGAGAAAAACAAATAAAACTCGGGGGAACCTCCTAACCCTAAATTAATATCGCAAACCATTAAACTCTGGATATGTGCTCGATCAAAAAGGTCAGCACCCGAAAAATTTAATGTTAAATGATGAAATCCTAAAATACAATCAAACTAAAAAAAATAAAGTTAAAAAATTTAATTGGAAAGAAAACCTAGGGAGAATAAAATAAAATAAATAAATTTTAAAAATTCAATAAGAAGGAAAACCCAAGGAGAATAAAATAAAATAAAAAAGCAAACTAATTCTATAAACCTTTTTAAATTAAATAAATAGAAATTAAAAGAATGAGAACCATATTAAACATATGAAATAATCTATAAGGAATAAAACTGAAAAAAAAATATCTAATTTTATAAATTATTTCAAATAAAAAAAATTCTAATCAAAATACCAAAGATGAAATCTAAAGGGAAAAAAAACTAATTGAAGGATTGCATTGTGATTTGTAAAGACCAAATTTCAAAGATAAAAAAATCTATTGAGGATGAAATTAAAAATATTTTCTTTTTAAAAAAAATTATTTCAAATAAAAAATACTAATTAAAAGATTAAGGACCAAATTTGAAAATAAAACTAATTAAAAGAATGCATGAATTTTTTTTTATGGACTGAGCATTTTCTTAAAATAAGAGAGAAAATGAAAAGAAAAAAAAATGATGGTTGACAATAAACCAATGGCAAAAAAGAAACACATGTTGCATGGTCAAGTAGGCACCATCAAGGGGATCCTATTGTTGCCTTGGAAGCCACCATTTGGTCACTGATTATTACTTAAAAGTGCATTTTTATTAAGGTTTTAGATCATCATTTTGCATTTGAAATATCAATAATGTCTTAACTAAAGTATGTTTTATAATAACATATCTAATAATATATGATACCTTTAATTTATTATAAATGTTCATCTTAAATGCAGACCTATCATATAAATCAAATAATTGATTGATAAGTTTAACTACTGAAATTGATAAGGTAAAGAGATGGCTAAGCTTAGAAAAGAGATGTTGGTTCAATCCAAACTGGAACACTGTTTAGTCATTGGGTCATAGTTGGAGCTGTAGATCTTGGATTTTAGTTTGGTTTATATAGATAGAGAGCTAAGACATAGACCTAAAACATTTATGAGAGTCTAAGACTCAATTCTGTTGTTTGGAAGTCCATATCTTAGCATCAAAAGAGAAGTTTCAATCTGTCCTGAGGCCTAGATATTGTTCAGTATTCAACCCATATCTCGAGTTCTAAAAGTCCAAATGCACCAATTCTACTTTTTATTGGAAATATAAGATAATTTCCTAGAACTTTCATAAAGATCGTTTGTTCAAATTCTAATATTAACAATGAAGTTTTTTGTAGGCAAGTAGATAAGAATTGTTACCAAGTGAAGAGGTAGTCACCTACTCAATAATTAGTCATTAAATTAATAGTTACAAATTTTAGCTTATAAAAGGAGACATTTGTCATGCATTTAAGCATCTTGATTTTCATATCAAAATCATATTTTTGCTCTCTTTCTTTATATTTTTGTAATGCTTAAGTTTTACCTTCTCTTGTTTATGCATTTCATTTCATTTTCTTTATTTAGTTAACTAATATCTTATTTATGTTTTTATCTTATTTATTTATGTTTCTCTTCTTCATTATGTTTAACTAAGTTTATTATGTTGAGGTAAAATGGTTACACTAATGGTGTTCGGATATGTATAATATAAATTTAATATAGACTTCAATGCTTATATCATAAACAACTTGCTCTTAATATGTCTTATAATTTTTATCTTATTAATTCTTAATATCTTGCTTATTAGATGGTTAGTCTAGATTTGTGTTATATAACATTTGGCATAAAAAATGCTTGGAACTTTCATAATCCAATCGTATGGTATAACCTACACATGTGCTATGAAAAGAACTTGATTTGTTGTTAATATAAGTTAGCATTATGAATCTCTGACAATTTTTAAAATTTTGGTGTTACTTAAATAAGACAATTAATACAATCATGTTAATAATTTATAATGAGTTATTAATAACAAATCATTCGATTGGAACCACCTTTATATGTGGTTTCCAGTTGAGTAATAAAAGGAGTTTATACTATATTTGTTTGAAATACTATTAGTGAATTCTCTAATTTATTGTTATTATTTAGCAAAAATTAAGAACTATTGATTTGTTGACTAATTATTGAGTGAGTTGCCATATCTTGACTTGGTGATAATCCTTATCTTCTTGTTTGAACAAAACATCATTGCTAATATCGAAATTCGAACAGACTTGAATCATGAAAGTTCTAGAAAATTGTCTTAGCTTTTTAACAAAAAAAAATTAAGTTCATTTAGATTTCTAGAACTCAAGATATGGGCTGAATACTAAACAGTGTTTGGGCTGCAAGATAGATTCAGACTTATCTATTATTGCTAAGATTCGGACTTTTAAACAGTTGATTAATACTTAAAAGTGCATTTTTATTAAGATTTTACATTATCATTTTGCATTTGAAATATTAATAACTCCTTAATTAAAGCATGTTTTATAATAACATATCTAATAATATAAGATACCTTTAATTTATGATAAATATTCATTTTAAATACAGGCCTATTACATAAATGAAAAGATTGATTGGTGAGTTTAAGAACTGAAATTGAAGGGACAAAGAGATGGCCAAACTTAGAAA